GTGTGTGTGTGTGTGTGGGTGTGTGTGTGTGTGGTGTGTTGTTGTGTGTGTGTGTGTGTGTGTGTGTGTTTGTGTGTGTGTGTGTGTGTGTGTGGTGTGTGTGTGGTGGTGTGTGTGTGGTGTTTGTCTCTGGTCTCCTGTGTGTCTGTCTCCTTGTCATCTGTCTCTGTCTCTGTTCTTGTGTCTCTGTGTGCTGTGTGTGGTGATGTCTCTCTGTGTGTGTGTGTGTGTGGTGTGTGTGTGTGTGTGTGTGTGTGTCTGTGTCTGTCTCTGTGTGTGTGTGTGTGTGTGTCTGTCTCTGTGTGTGTGTGTCTCTGTGTGTGTGTGTGTGTCTGTCTTTGTGTGTGTGTGTGTCTGTCTTTGTGTGTGTGTGTGTCTGTCTTTGTGTGTGTGAGTGTGTGTGTGTGTGTGTGTGTGTGTGTGTGTGTGTCTGTGTGTGTGTGTGCGTGTTCGTGTGTGTGTCTGTGTGTGTCTGTGTGTGTGTGTGTGTGTGTGTGTGTGTGCGTGTGTGCGTGTGTGTACCTTGTCCCTCCTCATCAGGAACAGGATGTCCTCGGCTGAGATGACCCTCGACCCCCGGAGAGTGGCTCCTTCACAGGCCTGATGCAGCTGGTTCAACACATCAATCATAATGAATACACCAATATGTAACATGTATATATGTAGTACTTGTACACTGTAGTATGCAGTATAAGTATTGTGTACCATAGTGATGAGCTGTGTGTGAATGATGTCCTCCACCAGAGCGGCCGTTTCATAAAGAGGCCGGCGAGCGTCACCTAGAGCAAACCTGAAACACACACACACACACACACACACACACACACACACACACCTGTCCATTAAACACACTCCAATTCAATATATAATATAACTGTCGATTAAAATAAAATAAAAACTCATGAGACGATAAACCTGCTGCTGCCTCGATGACAACAAAGCCTGAGAAATATGTGTGTGTGTGTGTGTGTACAGGTCTATCTCCAGTCCTCACACACACACACACACACACACACTGAGGTGGACAGGCCACACACACACCTTGACCACATTTTGGTGAAACGTGGATTTGCATGAAGAAAAGCCACTTCCAGGCCATCTGACCTGAAGCCACATCCTGGAGCTCCTTCCTCGCCCTCATCCCCCCCCCTCCTCCTCCCCCCCACTCTATCTGTGCTGTGATTGGCTGTCGGCAGCTGTCAGTCATCCGCTCAGGTTGGTGACTGTGGGTTGTTCTGAGCGATGGGTTTTCAGGTTTTCAGGTTTTGGGGTTTAGTTTAGTTTAGTTTGGTTTGAGGCTCTCTGACCACCGACACCAGACCTCTGCTGCACACACACACACACACACAGCTGTAACACAAGGTGAGTACCCCACAACACACACACAAACACACACTAAAAAGGAACACACCGTGGGGGGATTTCTCTACGAAAACCCACATAAATATTTAATTTGTGACAGAAAAACAGTCACAGCAGGAGTGTTTTGCAAATACCTCATACAGAGATTGTCTTTTCATTGTTATATTTTAGTCATAATTAGTAAATGTATTTTTCTAATTGTTTGTTTTTCTTATCACAGAAGTGAATCTCTCTGTTGTCACACTGTCCTTCTGTTTCATGCTGATGTGTTTTTAGGAATATAATGATCATTTCTTTGCAATCGATGCGTCCAAAAATGTAATTTCCGTGTTAACTAGTCACTCTAATATTGTAAACTAAATTCGAGTTATGACATATTAATATTTAACATGCTTACATTTCTATTTGATTTAACATGCTGGCAATGTAATGTCTCCTTTGTTTCATGTAATGATGTGTTTGTAATAACTTAGTTTTAAATCATCTTTGAGCAGTGACATGAAGACGTTGTGTTTTAACTTTGAACTCCTAAACATTTCCTGAATTGGACCGTCTTGCACGAATGCACATTTCTCAAAGATATTGAAGTGACTGTTATTTTGTATATATCGATTGTTGTGTGCATATGTACAAATGTGTCACTTGATTGTGTATATATATATATATATATATATTTGTACTTTGTATTCCTCTGGATTCTGGGAAACGGTATTTCGATCTCTGTTCACACAAACTAAAAGATTGACAATAAAGTTGACTTTGACTAAAAATCATTTCTGTGTTAAACAGGTTTCTACGATGGCTTCAAACAGTCTGTTCAGCAGCTCCGTGATGTACTGGGGTGAGTGTGTGTGTGTGTGTGTGTGTGTGTGTGTGTGTGTGTGTGTGTGTGTGTGTGTGTGTGTGTGTGTGTGTGTTGTGTGTGTGTGTGTGTGTGTGTGTGTGTGTGTGTGTGTGTGTGTCTCACATCATGCTCTGCAGCTCGGGGATGAAGCTGGTTCTGTTGGCTGGACGCTCTTTAGAGCTGGAGGCCATCGGGCTGCTCATCTCCTGGAGAAAAGAGACAAGAAACATTGACATTAAATAATATATATGATATGTTTTATAATGATTGATCATGAAAGTGTCCTCGAAGCTGGTAAAGGTGCAGCTAGTTTGAATGACTTTGTATACTGCAAGGTAGCTTGTGGATTTACTCCAGGAGGAACTACAGTCTGATTTAACACTTGATTATATTTCACATCATTCATCCACATCTGTGAAGTAACTAAAGGTATTAAATACAGGTAGTGGAGGAAAAGTACACCATGTACCTCTGAACTGTAGAGGAGTAGAAGAACAAGTAGCATAAAATTGTACTTAAGTAAATGTACTTAGTTACTTTACACCGTGTCAACAACAGACACTGATCTAAATGTAGTCTGTAATGTACTTGTATGGATCATTTAACCAAAACGGCCTGCAGAACTAAAATAACAACATAGCAGAACACACACACACACACACACCAGACACACACACACACACAGAGAGACAGACACACACACACACACACACACAGAGAGACAGACACACACACACACACACACACACACACAGAGACAGACACACACACACACACACACAGACACACACACACACACAGAGAGACAGACACACACACACACACACACACACAGAGAGACAGACACACACACACACACACACACACAGAGACAGACACACACACACAGAGAGAGACACACACACCCACACACCCACACTCACAGGTGTGACCACAGTCCCCCGGCAGTAGATCTGAATAATAAAGAGCCGCTTCCCTCCTATTCAAACCTGCGGTGCATGAAACACAAAGAGAGAAAATGAGGAGAAAAGAGATCTAAAAATAGTTTCTAAACGTCCTCTAGTCTCCGATAAACTCTACAGTAGATTGTATATTTGTTTCACTGCAAATGAGCGTTGAAACAAAGAAAACATGTCATATTTAAAATGTTTCATTAATTTTATTCACAATTATTTGTATTGATTGTTTTATATTAAGTTAAGTACTTGTTTTATTGATTTTTTATTATTTTATTATACATTTAAATCCAATGTTATTTTAAGGAAAACGTAAAAATAATTATTGTGAAGTTGAAACTTTACTTATTTTTGCCTAAAAATGTCCAAAAAACACCTGTAGATTCTCAGAACAGTTACAGAATAACATCGATTATACTAACCGTGTTAAACTTAATTAAAAAGGCTAAATCTGGCAATTAATGGGAAATACGAGTGTTTTTTTGCAGTAAATGTGAATAATAAAGCGTCGCGTTTCCCTCCTGTTCAAACCTGCGGTGATAAAACACAAAGAGAGGCAGAGAGAGAGGGGGGAGACATGGGGGAGCAAGAAGATGAACAAATACTCATACATTTAGTTTAAATACCTTTAAATTCCCACCAAAACTTGTTTCTAAACGTTGTTTCTGCTCCTGTTTACGATGTGTTTGATTTCGGCGCGACTTGATGACGATTCAGGAACCAAGAGCTGCGGCGGGGATTCTGGGAGTTGTAGTTTTTAGCACTATTTTTTTATAAAGCGGTTAAATTGTCGTCACTCATATATCTTCTTAATTGTTTTAATATGTGAAAATAACAAGCGCATTAAAATGCTTTATATTGTGTGGAAATATTATTATCAAGTGTAGAGGCTCTGTGTGTGTGTGTGTGTGTGTGTGTGTGTGTGTGTGTGTGTGTGTGTGTGTGTGTGTGTGTGTGTGTGTGTGTGTGTGTGTGCGTGCGTGTGTGTGTGTGTGTGCGTGCGCATGCGTGCGTGCGTGCGTGCGTGCGTGCGTGCGTGCGTGCGTGCGTGTATGTGTGTGAGTGAGTGAGTGAGTGAGTGAGTGAGTGAGTGAGTGAATATTAATACTTCATATTCATTCTTTTTATACATTGTAGTTCAATATGCACAGATATATTCTACAATATGTTTTATAAATATTTTTATTATATTTATGTATTTTAAATGGAGCAATTGTCACAAAATCGAATTCAACAAATGATTTCTAATTCTGATTTTGATTTACAGCATGCATTTTAATGTCTGTAACAAGTATACATTTTAATATAAAGAAATATTAACCGTTGTATTTTTGTTATATATTGTAGTACAATGTTAAAGATGTTATTTTAGCCTCTCGTTATTCATATAAACATTTTATTATTATTATGTATTTATTTTCATTCTAAAACCTCTTCAGCATCTTCAACAATTTCCTCCTTGAATAAATACATTTGGGATTCAGGGGTTTAATCATGCCAAGACACAGATTACAGGTTTATTATGAGTCAGTGTTCAAGAGAAAAAGCACAGAAACAAATCTCTGCAACTAGTCCCTAGTCCTCTTCAACTAGTCCTAAAGACTTCTGCAACTATAGTCCTCTGCAACTAGTCCCTGGATTTAAGCAACTAGTCCTGAATACTTCTGCAACTAGTCCTAAAAACTTCTGCAACTAGTCACTAGTCCTCTGCAACTAGTCACTAGTCCTCTGCAACTAGTCACTAGTCCTCTGCAACTAGTCCCTGGATTTAAGCAACTAGTCCTGAATACTTCTGCAACTAGTCCTCTTCAACTAGTCCTAAAGACTTCTGCAACTAGTCCTCTTCAACTAGTCCTCTTCAACTAGTCCCAAAGACTTCTGCAACTAGTCCCAAAGACTTCTGCAACTAGTCCTAAAGACTTCTGCAACTAGTCCCTATTCCTCTTCAACTAGTCCTGAAGACTTCTGCAACTAGTCCTCTTCAACTAGTCCTCTTCAACTAGTCCTAAAGACTTCTGCAACTAGTCCCTATTCCTCTTCAACTAGTCCTGAAGACTTCTGCAACTAGTCCTCTTCAACTAGTCCTCTTCAATTAGTCCTCTTCAACTAGTCCCAAAGACTTCTGCAACTAGTCCCAAAGACTTCTGCAACTAGTCCTAAAGACTTCTGCAACTAGTCCCTATTCCTCTTCAACTAGTCCTGAAGACTTCTGCAACTAGTCCTCTTCAACTAGTCCTCTTCAACTAGTCCCAAAGACTTCTGCAACTAGTCCTAAAGACTTCTGCAACTAGTCCCTAGTCCTCTTCAACTAGTCCCAAAGACTTCTGCAACTAGTCCCAAAGACTTCTGCAACTAGTCCCTAGTCCTCTTCAACTAGTCCTAAAGACTTCTGCAACTATAGTCCTCTTCAACTAGTCCCAAAGACTTCTGCAACTAGTCCCAAAGACTTCTGCAACTAGTCCCAAAGACTTCTGCAACTAGTCCCAAAGACTTCTTCAACTAGTCCCAAAGACTTCTTCAACTAGTCCCTAGTCCTCTTCAACTAGTCCCTAGTCCTCTTCAACTAGTCCCAAAGACTTCTGCAACTAGTCCCAAAGACTTCTGCAACTAGTCCCAAAGACTTCTGCAACTAGTCCCTAAGACTTCTGCAACTAGTCCCTAAGACTTCTGCAACTAGTCCCAAAGACTTCTGCAACTAGTCCCTAAGACTTCTGCAACTAGTCCCAAAGACTTCTGCAACTAGTCCCAAAGACTTCTGCAACTAGTCCCAAAGACTTCTGCAACTAGTCCCTAAGACTTCTGCAACTAGTCCCTAAGACTTCTGCAACTAGTCCCAAAGACTTCTGCAATTAGTCCCTAGTCCTCTTCAACTAGTCCTGAAGACTTCTGCAACTAGTCCCTAGTCCTCTTCAACTAGTCCTGAAGACTTCTGCAACTAGTCCCTAGTCCTCTTCAACTAGTCCTGAAGACTTCTGCAACTAGTCCCAAAGACTTCTTTAACTAGTCCCATGCATTTTGATTTCAAACAACAACAAAACACATTAAAGGAAAACCTGTGCAGTAATGAATCAGAGTCAGGTTTATCACCAGGTCGACACGTACGAGGAATTTGACTTGATGTCGTGCATACATAAAAGTAAAACGAACATTAAAAACACAGATAGAGAACTATTTTAAGAAAACTATAATAACATTAAAAAATATTTTAAAAATTATAGTAAAATATAGAAGTATTTACATAGAAATGGAATAAAATGTGGAATAAAATTCGGCAGTAATAAGAAAAGAAAACGAAAAGAAAACAGATATTGTATTATAAAAATATAAAGACAAAAATATTCAAATATTTCTGTCTTTCTCAGATCCTGCTGTGAAGAGGAGGCCATCACCACCAGAGGACCACAATGTGATATCCCTCCGCGGCACAGCGCCCCCTAGAGGCCTGCAGGAGGACCATGATGTGATATCCCTCCGCGGCACAGCGCCCCCTAGAGGCCTGGTTCAGACCGACAGCCCTAACTTCCTGTGCAGCAGCCTGCCGCAGCACTGGAGGAGCAACAAGAGCCTGCCCAGGGTCTTCAGCGTGAGAAACACTCTTATATATCACATAGAGTTTAATTCAGGGGTTTAACCATGCCAAGGCACAGATTACAGGTTTATTATGAGTCAGTGTTCAAGTGAAAAAGCACAGAAACGAATCTCTGCAACAAGTCTAGGTCTCTACAACTACTCTCAAAGACTTCTTGAACCAGTTGGTCCCTGGATCTCTGCAACTGGTCCTGAAATGTCTGTGAAGATTCCCTAGATCTTTGCTACTGGTCCCAAAGACTTCTGCAACTAGTCTCTACATCTCTGCAACTATAGTCCCCAGTCCTCTGCAACTAGTCCTAAAGACTTCTCCAACTAGTCTCTACATCTCTGCAACTATAGTCCCCAGTCCTCTGCAACTAGTCCTAAAGACTTCTCCAACTAGTCTCTACATCTCTGCAACTATAGTCCCCAGTCCTCTGCAACTAGTCCTAAAGACTTCTCCAACTAGTCTCTACATCTCTGCAACTATAGTCCTCAGTCCTCTGCAACTAGTCCTAAAGACTTCTCCAGCTAGTCCCCAGTTCTCTACAACTAGTCCCTGGAGTGCACCAGCTGGGCGTAAAAAAGTAGGTCTTAACTCTAACGTCGGGCTTAGCTACGTCCGACTTAGTGATTTGAATTAACACAGAGTGCACCAAGCCTGGCTAGTCACGGTCGTAGCTGCGCCTAGTCTTAAAATGCGCGTCCACGTCAATACACGCGAAACAGTCATTGTTGCCAAGCAACACACGTCTAGGCAAGGCAAGGCAAGGCAAGGCAAGTTTATTTATATAGCACCTTTCAACACAAGGCAATTCAAAGTGCTTTACAAAAATGGAAGACATAATTTAACACTCGAACTTCTCCATTCAAAGCCCCCGTTAGCGTAATCAGCAATCAGCGCCTGCAAGGTTGGGGAGAGCGTTTCTGTCTGATCCGTGCTGTAGTTGAGGGGAGATCTCCTCGATTAATTCAAAAAGGGCTTGTCTGCCGAAACGAAACCTCTCCATCAGCTCACTGAATAGATGTCCAGTGGGTTTGTTCGATCACGGACGACTCTTTCTCTTCTTAATGCCCTTTCATTGTTAAACATGTAAACAAGACGCACTGCCTTCGCTATGTTCCTTCTTGCCTGTTTTACGTTCCCATGGATACTAGTCTGTCTTTCCGATTTACGCCTGCTCCACACTAGGCGTAAAAGTTACACGCAACGCATACAGGGCTTAAATGGTGCACTAGTCATAACTTTAGTTTGGTCTTAACCTTCGGTTCTACGTCGGACGTAGAGTTACGCCCAGTCTTACGCCCAGCTGGTGCACTCCACTCCGATTTCAACAAATAGTCCTAAAGACTTCTGCAACTATTCCTTTTAACTCTTCAAGTAGTCACTAGATCTCTGAAAATAGTTTTTAGTCCTCTTCAACTGGCTCCTAGCTCTGCAACTAGACATAGACGTCTGGATCTAGTCCCCATAGTTTAAAACAAACTAAAAATGAGTGAATAACATAAAAAACATCATAAAAGGACAAAATGATGTATATATTATTTATAGTCATTATAGTCATTTCGACAAAAAATAATGCAAGTGTTACTTAAATAGATGAGTTAGGAGGGATAATGCTAAATATAAAATGGTTATATTGCCCTAGAAAGCTTAGAGAGGGGTACAATTAAATACAAATATGTTAATAGAAGGACTTATTTCCTCCTTTTCTGGCATACCTTGAATTTCGCTGCAGTTTTATTCAAGCTTTAGCTAAAGAACCCCCCCTAAAATACTTAATATGATTTGTAATATTTCTGTAGTTTTTAAACCTTTTGTCAGAAAGTAATCCTGTGTGTCTCCGGACTACAGGTGGTTGCCCTGGGAAACGACGTTCCTGACGGTGTTGTTGTCGTGGTGATGGCCGGGAATGATGACAACAGCAGGGCGGAGCTACGTAACGCCACAGCAACCATGAAGCAGGGACACGCCCACTTCACTGACCTGCGCTTCATAGGGCGCAGCGGCAGAGGTGAAAACACATTGATAACAATAAGCAGAGGTGGGAAGTAGTGGAGTACAAATACTTCGTTACTGTACTTAAGTGCATTTTTCTGGTATCAGTACTTTACTCCACTACTTATTTTTCGGACCACTTTTGACTTTTACTTCTTACATTTTGAACCCAAATACCTGTACTTTCTACTTCTTACATGTTGAACACAAATACCTGTACTTTCTACTTCTTACATGTTGAACACAAATACCTGTACTTTCTACTTCTCACATGTTGAACACAAATACCTGTACTTTCTACTTCTTACATGTTGAACACAAATACCTGTACTTTCTACTTCTTACATGTTGAACACAAATACCTGTACTTTCTACTTCTCACATGTTGAACACAAATACCTGTACTTTCTACTTCTCACATGTTGAACACAAATACCTGTACTTTCTACTTCTCACATTTCCCAAACAGGCTGGTTCCTTTAGTTTGAATGTGTGTCTGGTGGCGTGATCATTATTATTTAGAGTCATTGCGTGCCTATTGATTTGAACACGATCCGTGTATCCATCGTTTCCTGGTCTTCTCTAAAGAAGAGGGACCAATGAAAACGTTGTCATGTTGCCGTTGTTCAGCATGGAAACATTCATTAGCTAACAATGACATTATTGTTCTATTAATATAAAGGGAGCTCAGGTACTCTTTAAAACAGCTGCTAGTTATGGGTACTTTTTACTGAAGTACATTTCAAAGTCTTTACTTTCACTTGAGTAAAGAAGTTTAGTCAGTACTTCTACTTTTACCAGAGTATTTTTAAACACGAGTATCTGTTCTTCTACTTGAGGAAAGGATGTGTTTACTTTTGCCATCTCTGGTAAACAGGTAGCTTTGTAAATATGTGAATGTGTGTGTTGTTCTTTTTTTCAGGTAAGACCTTCACCCTCTCCATCAACGTGATGACCTCTCCTCCTCAGGTCGCCACCGTACACAAAGCCATTAAAGTAACTGTGGACGGACAGCGGCTGCCGAGACGTCAGTAAACACCAGAGGATGAAATACATAAATTAAAATCATGTTTTTATCCAAAGCTAACTGTTCTTTCCTGTGTTCGAACAGGACAGAGGCAAAAGGAGGTGAAATTAGGAGCGTTCAGGGCCTCCTGCAGCAGCACTGCATCAACAGGTAGGTGTACTTTAAACCCTTTAACATAGCCCAACATTAGCCGCCTTTAGCTTAGCAGTGGTGACGTGAAGTCATGTGACCGTGCTGTAGTTCCTTTATAGCCCAACATTAGCCGCCTTTAGCTTAGCGGTGGTGACGTGAAGTCATGTGACCGTGCTGTAGTTCCTTTATAGCCCAACATTAGCCTCCTTTAGCTTAGCGGTGGTGACGTGAAGTCATGTGACCGTGCTTGTAGTTCCTTTATAGCCCAACATTAGCCTCCTTTAGCTTAGCGGTGGTGACGTGAAGTCATGTGACCGTGCTGTAGTTCCTTTATAGCCCAACATTAGCCACCTTTAGCTTAGCGGTGGTGACGTGAAGTCATGTGACCGTGCTTGTAGTTCCTTTATAGCCCAACATTAGCCTCCTTTAGCTTAGCGGTGGTGACGTGAAGTCATGTGACCGTGCTGTAGTTCCTTTATAGCCCAACATTAGCCACCTTTAGCTTAGCGGTGGTGACGTGAAGTCATGTGACCGTGCTGTAGTTCCTTTATAGCCCAACATTAGCCTCCTTTCTCTCATAACAATCAACATGTTCTTCATTATTATTTGTTATAATCAGTAATAGTTGTCTCTCTCCAGATTGTAGATCCTTCCCCTCCTCTCTATGGACCAATGAGGCGTCGTTCCTGGGTCAAATGTCTTCTCCCAGAATGCACCACCTCTCCTACTCCACCCAGCCCCCCCCTTACAGCTACCTGTCCCCCCCTCCTCTGAGCCACAGTGGTCCGTTCCAACCCAGCAGCTTCTACTACGGACCGAACCAAATGATCCAAAGCACGGGGGACGACCGAAATGTTGTCTCGGCTCTGTCCAATTACATCGAAGGGGCGTGTCTTTCTTTGCGGGGGGAGGAGCCTGTCTGGAGGCCATATTAATTCATATTTTATTCAATATACTTTTTTTTTATTGTAATTTCTCTATAAAATGTTTTATTATTATTTCTTATTTATATGTTATACGTCTAAAATAAAATAGAAATTCACGATTTTTTGTGACATACATATCTCCCATTAATCTGTAAAAATAATATTTAAATTTGACTTTTGTTGCAGTGTTTGTGTAGTTTGCCTTTGTTATTAATAATATGTATTTATTTAATCTTTCTGACTATTATTTAATAATGTCCATTGGTTTAAACAAGAAATAAATAAAAATATCTGATGAAATTGATGTCGCAATTATCCCTTTTCTATTAAAGAAATGTAAAAGTTGACAATTACATTCTCATACAATAAAGTGTTTATTAAATCAGCATTCATTTCCCAACCCAAACACACATATCATTAGCAATAAAACACTAACGCATTTTGGCAAAATCAGTTTTTGGAAATCTCTTTGCTAATTTTTGTTAAATAATAAACAAAATAAACGTTAAGAAAAGTTAAAAAACGGCCATAATTATACATATACATAAAAAACAATATATGCATATGAACATTAAAAGATATATTAAATTATATAAAAATGAAATTGTGTTTCGGACCACTTATTTATTTATTTTGGTGCCGATCCGACCTCCATGCTGCTCTGGTTCAAACCACAATCTGACTCGGTGTGAAATGGCTTCTGTCGGCATTTCCTGCGATCTTCTTCGTGCAGTCGGTCTAAAGAGCGTTGAGTTCCTCCACCCTCCGGCTCCACTCCTCCTCCGTCAGCTCTTCTCCTTCTGCTCCTCCTTTAAAGTCCACCTCCTCCTGATGCTCCTCTAAAACACAAAGATGTAAAAACCAGCTGTCAAAATAAATGAAACTGTAATTTAGAGTCAGCGACTATGAAACACTATCTAAAAAATGTTTGGATATTTTTGCATAGATACATTTGTGTGTGTGTGTGGTGTGTGTGTGTGTGTGTGTGTGTGTGTGTGTGTGTGTGTGTGTGTGTGTGTGTGTGTGTGTGTGTGTGTGTGTGTGTGTGTGTGTGTGTGTGTGTGTGTGTGTGTGTGTGTGTATGTCTGTGTGTTACCGTTGCAGATGAGAGCGGTGCAGACCCAGTTTCCACAGGCACACACACACTTGTTACACTCCATCCGAGTTTCAGCTCCGTCCTCGAACACCTCATCCTCCAGAGCACACTCTGCACAAAACACACACACACCGACACACACACACACACACACACACACACACACACACACACACACACACACACACACACACACACACACACACACACACACAATATGCCGGTGAGAAACAACAACTTCTTTCTTTAGGTGTGTGTGTGTGTGTGTGTGTGTGTGTGTATGTGTGTGTGTGTGTGTGTGTGTTTACTTCTCTCGTATGGATGGTATGAGGGTGTGAGGCAGTTGATGAACTCCGTTAAACTCAGCTTCCAGTCGGCGTTCTCATCCGACAGCTCGATCAGAGCGTCCACACACAGAGACCTGAGGGACACCATGACACCTTTACTAACGCAATGTGTGTGTGTGTGTGTGTGTGTGTGTGTGTGTGTGTGTGTGTGTGTGTGTGTGTGTGTGTGTGTGTGTGTACCTCAGCAGCATGTTAGTCTCCAGTGTGTCGGAGTACGTGATGTTGAGCGCCGTCTCGTTGTGTTTCAGGAAACTCAGGAACTCTTTGGAGTCCAGCTCTGAATCCCCGTTATCGTACGACTGACACACACACACACACACACACACACACACACACACACACACACACACACACACACACACACACACACACACACACACACACACACACACACACACAAAGGGTTAGATTGTTTTAAATATCCTGTTATGCTCATTTAGATCATTGTTTCTCTAGTTGTCCTTTTGCAAAATGTGCACCAAATTAAAATCTAAATTAATTCTAAGTATTTTAATGAAAGTCAATGTTTACCTTGAAGTATGTTCGCAGCAGGTGATTGGTCAAGGGCTCATTTGACGTCCTGTTGTCAGACTGAACTTCCTGCTGAATCCACTGGATCACTCTCTGTCTCAGCCAATCACGGTCAGACAGGAAACACACGACTGCACACAGGAGCACAAACAGTCATGAGCATTTCAATGAAAAAGCAAATAATAATAAAAATGCCTCTTTATATTTCTGTAAGGACTCACTGGGGCTGACGTCCGTCTCTGTTGGCGTCTCTGAAAATCAAACAGAACACCGTCACATATCTGCAGGTGTGTGTGTGTGTGTGTGTGTGTGTGTGTGTGTGTGTGTGTGTGTGTGTGTGTGTGTGTACCCAGGCAGTGTCCTCGGTGCTCCAGGTGTATCTTGGTGTGTGTGAGTGTGTGTGTGTGTGAGTTGCAGGCGTCTCTGTGCAGCTCGCAGTGGTTTCTGTACGATCGCCCGTTACTGCCACACACCCAGTTCTCTCTCTCTTCACACTGCTGCAGGGAGAGAAGGACACACACACACACACACAAACACACACACACACATAAACACACTTATATTAAAGGTCCCATGTCATGCTTTTCCGGTTATTACCCGTCCCCTTGTGTGTTCTGTAGCTTCTGCATGTAAACGGTCTGCAGAGTCACAAACCCTCAAAGTACACCCTGTAGCGAGTAAAACTCTAACACAGAGAAGAGCTGTCTATGCTGCCCCAGAACGCCTCGTTGGACATTTCTCTTTTTCTTCCTGGGTACAGTGACGTGCCCAGTGGCGACTGGTCATTAGGGGCACCTAGTGTCAGCAGAAAGTATTACAAATAATGCAAAAAAAAAATATATATATATAAAATATATTTTAAGATCATGTTTAATCATCTGATTCGTCTGTACATTGCTGTTTTAGTCTGTGTTCTTCTAATTAGTGTCTACAGTCACAGTGTGTGCCTATTGAGCTGTTTAGAGCCATGTGGGACAAAACCTGATTATGCCCCTCCCTCTCACTGTCTAAGTGAACGTGACTGTAAAAACTACACTGCGCATGCTCAGAGTATTTTCCTATTTAATGTGTGTGGCAAAAAAATAATGACCAGAGGGGCACTGAGCTGCCATCCCCACCATACGTCATCTCACATCATTCAGAGCTGATTGGCTGTAAGTACGTGTGCCGCGAAAAGTGTGCTGTGTGAAGAGGAGACGAGAGAGCTGCAGTGACGCGTCCTAAAACCAGGAAGTAAGCACAAAAAAGCAATGAGGTTTCTCCATAGGATTTTAGAAAATAGCTCGAAATAAGATCTGTGGGAAACGTACCTGTTAGATAAATGCACGTTTTGTTCAGCCGGATAACATCCACATGTCTACCCTACTTTTATAATTTTTTTATCATAAATCTATCGATTAGATTTATGATAGACTTTTGAAACTACAAGAAGATAAGGAGGACTTTTACAAAAAAGTAATAGAAATGTTTGTCCAGAAGGATAGGCAAATGGACTTCATCTTCAAGTCAAGGTAAGACCGCCATTTTATTGAAAATGGGATCTTACTAAGAGAGAACAATTCAATATTTAAATGATAAAATTACATTTGTTGGGTATCCTTTTGTTGAACTGTCTGTTTAAAATTAATCGAAGCATCAGACAAAAAAGCTTTTGAAAATAATATTATATTTTGGTTTAGGTCAAAATATAATATTTGTAAACCTGAAGAGTCAGTGCCAGTGCCTCAGCAGCCATGAACCTCACTGCACGTCACTGCAGAAGCTTATATATAGACATCTACGTTTTTTGTGCCCCACCACTTTTGTACATATAGAAACGCCACTGGACGTGCCCATACCCAAATGGACCCATTGGTCCATTTGGGCCAATCCGCGGACTTCCTCACACACACTCAATCTTTTCTCAGCTGCAGCTCCGCCGATTTCTCCTCCCTGAGACGGCGGGACGCGGCGAGGCTGTGAGTCGATGTGTGAGCACACACACAAACTCCCAGCCAGGCTGCGGGTGTGTGTGTGTGTTCGGGCTGGTTCGCTGTCTCGCAGGCGGCCACTGGGCTCACAGGGAGGGGGGGGGGCAGGAGCTCCAACAAGCCGTTTAGGGCAGAGAGTGAATACACATACTATACAGAGATGCTGTATGAGAAACCAATGTGAGTTTGGAACATTGCTCAGTATAAATCTATTCTAGTAGACCTCAACAATGGAACTATGATCAGTAGAAATGGCCATGACATGGGACCTTTAAGACATTTCTTAGATATTCTGCTGAAACTGCACAAATCATATTTACCTGTAAACAGCGACACACACACACACAACCATTTTTACTTAAACTTCTTATGTTAATGGATATATTGTTATTTTATTTGTATATATCTGTTTAATAGCAATTTAAAAAGGTATCAGTGACACTTTTTAGTATTTGAAGTCATGCACAAATCATATTTACCATCAAACAGCGACACACTGGTTCTCCTCTGTCGGTCGATACACACTCTCCGCCTCTCTCGCCCTGCACCACAGAAAGTCCTGGCACACACCGACTGATCCTGACACACCACACACACACACAATCACACACACACACACACACACACTCTCACACACACACACCCACACGCACAACACCACACACAGCACACACACACACACACCCACCACACGCACGCAGACAACAACACACCCCACACACGCACCCAACACACACACACACTGCACACACAACACACACACCACACACAACCACATCACGCACGCCACAGCCACACCCCCCACACACCCACACATCAACAACACACAACCACACACACACACACAACGCCACGCACCACACACACACACCATCACCCACACACACACCCACACAACACACACAACACATACCACACACACACACACACACACACACACACACACACACACACACACACACACACACACACACACACACACAGAGATATAGCATTGTCATGGTATTCCTTTTTATAAAGTTCACAATGAAAAGAAGTGAGGAGTGAGGTTCAGACTCCAGATGG